GAAAGAGGCTGGATATATGAGGAGACAAGGAATAAGAGGGAAACACTCCTCTGAGTGGGAGAACCCCTGTTAGTAGGGAAGAGGGCAGGGCAGGTGCAGGTCTGGACCCTGACTATGGAAAGGCAGGGCACGTTCTTTTTTTTGGCAGGGGTTATCTGGGATTGAACAAAGGGACACTCAACCTCTGAGCCACATGTCCAGCCCTGTTCTGTATTTAATTTGAGACAGGTTCTCACTGAGTTGCTTAGCGTCTCACTGTTACTGAGGCTAGCTTTCAACTTGAGCTCCTCCTGCTTCAGCCTCCTTGCTGCTAGGATTATAGGTGTGTGCCACCACACCTGGCCAAGGCAGGGCATATTCTTGAAACAAATGCAGTATTAGATCTGGAAATTCCTCTTAAACTCACTTGGATGTGTCTCAGCCATGTTCTTAATAGGCAGAGAGACTTTCCTAATATTGCAGAATTCCTTCCCTTTGCATATCTTTTTATTTTCCTCTCATACAACTTTCAATTTGTAGCCAATGCTACCTAATTACTTTCACTATCAGCATATCAGCCTCAAATATATATTCCAACATCTGATGTCCTGAATGGAAAAGGAGCTTATCATACAAGGGGAAATTCTTTTGCTTGCTGACAAGGAGACACCTCTTGCAACAAAAGTCTATGTATGTTTAGTGTAAATGATCAACTTGAATCTCCACCCTTCCTGGTTCCAGCCCTGATAGGAAGCAATGTTAAGTATGGAGTACTACACCTTCCTCCTCCCCAGCAATTTTACAGGGTAGACTTAGTCTTGCCACTTTCTTAACTCAGGGCTCTGTGTTTCAGCATTCCCTGGGGGCAGTGTGCCTAGCTAAACCTAGCCAGGCATGAGACAATCACCTGGGTGAGTTAAGTGCAGTTTCCACATGTATCCTACATCTCAGGATCCAAAACTGGTGGTGAGGGGAATGGATAAGGGTGGAACATTTGCAGTGTCAATAAGCACTTCAGGTTGTCTAAGCCACAGTCAGGGTGAAGAGGAGCCAGCTTCCTGGGTAGTTGGATTTCTCTCTCTCTCTCTCTCTCTCTCTCTCTCTCTCTCTCTCTCTCTCTCACACACACACACACATGCACGCACAATTTTGTATGTCAGAATTTTCCCCTGTTCACTTTAAATTGTAATCTTTTTGCAGGAAGCTCTGGATCCTATTAAGTCAGGACTTCTTGGAATTAGGATCAATGTGCCAAGCCCTTTGGGCAACACGTTGGGTTAAACATGTTTTCTGTCTACAGGAAACTAACAGCTAATTCAAACTATGAAAAATAAGAGTCTCTGACATGAATGACCAACTAATAATCTAGAAATTAAAAGAGCTAAAGGTACTGAAGGGAGGATCCTGGTACATTTTGGTCCAGGTCCCATTGGTAACTGTCCTCCTAGGATGCCAGGGAGGCCTCTCTTGCTACTGTTCTTTGCAGTGGCTGAAGAAACACCCAAAGGTGCAGTGGATCTGTATTGGGTACAGCTTTCCCTGTGGAGTTAGGCTGATGCAGTGGGGAGGGGAAAAATTGAAGAAAAGCTGGAGTATCCAATAAGGTCATAGAGCCGAGAGGTAAAAACACTCTACAGAACTGTAAGTTTGAAGAGGGAGATAGTGAGAAGGAAGATGGAAGAAAGAAGTGAAAAGAGCCACTCCGATTTCAACTAAGAAGAGCATTCTGCCTGGTAAACTGGATTCTCAGCATATGTGGTTTGCCCAGCTATATATTTTGAGCTTAATATTCCAGTACTCTAATTTCCATCCTTGGTTCTGCCCATCAGACTGCTGATTTTCTTATTCATCCATTATTTTACAGCAAGGCTAGACTTCTACTGCTGTGGCTTAGAAGCCACAGGTCTCAGCTAGGGATAGGAAGCTCCAAATCACAGAAAATTGTAAGACTAGCTGAACCAAACTGCAACACCCAAGATCACAATGGTCTTGGGAATAACCAGGCCTATGTGCAAAAAGGTATGATGTGAAACAGATTGTTTACATTCTTATAAAACCGTGGATGGATGGGATTCTGGTAGTGAAGTCAGCAGTGTGTCCCTTCTAAAGGTCTAAAGGATTTCGAAAATATACTGTGAGTATTTGTTTCTGTGCCAATAAAAAAGCAAAATGTGTTTTCATTTTAAACAACCAGGAAAAAATGTTTACATCTATCTCAAAACTAGAGTCTGATGTTTAATTGTGAAAATAATGCCCATCCAAAATCTAAATAGTTTTGTTTAAAGGAAATAAAAAGGGGGTTGGGGTTGTGGCTCAGTAGTAGAGCACTCGCCTAGCATGTACGAGGTGCTGGGTTTGATCCTCAGCACCACATTTTAAAAAAAAAAAAAAAGACATTGTATTGTGTCCATCTACACTTAAAAAATTTTTTTAATTGTTTAAAATAAATAAATAAATAAATAAAATGAAGGTATCATGTCCATCGTGTCCAACTACAACTAAAAAAAATATTAAAAAAACAAAAACAAAACGCACGCATCTGTAAGTAACAATGTTATTCATGCAATTTATTTATTAGCAGAACTTTTCATCCAGATTTTAGCATGTAAGTAAATGACAAAATTTATTAATTTATACAAATTCATCTGGAAAATGAGATTGTCCTGAGCTTAAATGATTTAAGAAAAAGTATGGAGTAAAAATGAAGAAAGTAGGGTTCTGGTTTTTAAAAAGCTAAAGATTAAATTTCCTTGACACAGTAACCATTCTAACCAAAGAGCAAATGGTCTAAAGGGTCTGCAAGCCAGTCAGGCAGGCACCAAGGGTCAGACTTTCCTGTGAGGAACTGGTGTCAGGCCCTGTATAACTACCTAGCAGGGTTCATCATGGTAGGAAAAAGCATAATGGTAGTCAAAGCATAATTGTGACAACAGAAAAGTCCAACTTCTCAATATAAAAAAATAAAATTTTTAGGGGCCTGATAATACAAAAGAAGATAGCTATGTACATACATATAGTAATATACATATTATACTACATATAGTAACACCATATATATATATATATATATATAATATGAATATATATAGTATATATATTACTAATATATATGTTATAGGTTACTATGTCAGATGTATATATGATATATATATCATATATACATATATTCTTAGTAACATATATTTATATATTATGTTATTATAAAACATTTATATATTTATTTATATAAATATATAAATATATTTATATAAAATATATATTTACATAAAATACATTTTATATAATTTATTTATATAATTCTTTTGCTTGCTGACAAATATACAAATATATATAAACATATATATATAATTATTTTGCTTGTTGACAAATATACAAATATATATATATATATATATAACTAAGAAGAATAAGGAAGATCAAAAACATTTTTTACCACCTAAAACCTTAAGATCTTGTGTAAGGGTTTTCCTGAGACTTCAGACATCACCAGAATCGTAAGCAGGGACAACTTTTTCTTTCCTTCAGCAAAAAGTAAGCTTTGCAATCCTCCATCCATTCCCCAAATCAGGAAGACATAGGACAGGTGGGTTTTGAGTGCTTTCTTAGCCAGCTGTTCCACCCCATTGTCTTTCAATTCTGGAAAGACCCCTTCTACATTTAAGCATGTTTTCCAACTGCAAAGCCAGCCAATCTTTTGTTGATCTTTAAAAGCCTGCAAAATTTCATTATATTGTTGTTTATTCCAAATTAGAAGCCTCTGGATTCTTTCCACTGGGGGTTTAAAATTTTTAGTTTATAAGCAAATGTCCAGAAAGAAATAACCAAATTAAAAATTGTCACCAAGGTTCCATTTCCAGATGCTTCCTGGTGACTAATCTGCCATAATGCTTTCAGTCTTTTGTTTCTGTTTCCTGATTCACTCAGTGGGAATAATTTATCTTGTGAATTTGTTTAATCAAACTGACTAGAGTAAAGACACATGTTCAAAGTCTTTTTTGCAAAACTCACACTTTGACTCTCATGTGCTGAATGCTGCAGCAACAATTGCTGGATCATAAAAATATTCATTCAGCTGCTTGAATTCCCATGTCACATATTTCCTATTAGCACTTAAAATTTAAATCTAGGTTTGAATTTAGTTTTAGTAAATTAATTACTCCCATTTTAAAATTTACTATAAATATTATAGATTTATCACAACTTTGCAAATTTAGAATGACTTGTATAAAACTCTATGAACAAAGTTATGATCTTAATATTTGTCTTAATACTTTTTGATGTAAATTCAAGAACAGAGTGAGAAGTTGAGCTGTAATGGAAGATTGGAACCAGATTACTAAGGCATTCATTTATATGATTAATAGTTCAGTAGTTTATTTTTTGCTCACAATTGCATGGATTGCCTTGTGATTCTTCTGTTGATCTTTCTTGGCATCACTCATGTGGCTGCACTTGAGTGGCAGATTGGCTAGGGCTGTCAGCCATGGCACATTGATCTTAAATGTGTGACTACCCCAAATAGCCAGCCTGGGCTTTCTTACAGTTTTGTGGTCTCAAGGAAGAATTCTTAGAAGAAGCATTTGCAGAGTGTAAAAACAGAGCTTTAAAACTTTTTATATAGAGGCTGTCAGACCTACATTACTTATACCGCATTTTATTCATCTGAGCAACTCACAAAGCTAGCCCAGATTCAAGGAGAGAGAAAATAGACTCCATCTCTTAAAGAGAAAAGTGTCAGAGACACATTGCAAATGCTTATGGGATGTGAAATAACAATGCAGCCATTTTTGGAAACCATCAACTACACTCCACCTCCTAGCTGAAATAATTCCCATTCCTCCCACGTGAAACACACTAATCACCACCTCCCTCCATGGCTCATCCTGTTAGGCATCTGCTCCGAGTCCAGGGTCTCGCCATCTCAATCAGGTGCAAAGAAGGGCTCCTTATGTTGCTTGTATATACTGATCAAGTGTGCCTTCTCTCTATCTGGAAGCCTCTAACCTCAAAAGGCAAGTTATATCACTTCTCAGCCTTTTGGCTAAGATTGAGTGTAGTGTCTATTCTTGTCAGTTTAATATCTGATACATCCTTTATCCAAGGACAATATATTAAATGGAGTTTTGGAGCAGGAAGATGGAATAGGAGCTTGCTCCTTCCACTCCACGCGTTGACCTGCTATTGCAGTACTTCCAAGAATGATGAACCAAAAAAAAAAAAAAAAAAAGGCAAGTTATCTGCTTCTCACATACAGCACACAATAGTATAGGAAAACTTCTATGGACAAATCATTATACACTCTGTAAAATCAGGGCCCTGAAGAGACCAGAGAACAATCATGGGGAAAATGGAGAGGTACCGTTCTCAGGAATATAGGTTAGGAACTTGGGATGTGTTATGGTTTGGATGTGAGGTGTCCCCAAAAGCCCACGTGTGAGACAATGCAAGAAGGTTTGGAAGAGAAATAATTCAGTTATAACCTTAACCTAACCAGTGAATTAATCCCCAATGGGATTACCTGGGTGGTAACTGAAGGCAGGTAGGGTGTGGCTGGAGGAAGTGGCTCATTGGGAGTATGGCTGTGGGATATATATTTTGTATCTGGAGAGTAGAGTCAGTCTCTCTCTCTCTCTCTCTCTCTCTCTCTCTCTCTCTCTCTCTCTCTCCCTCTCTCTCTCTCTGTCTCTGCTTCTGATCATCATGTGAGCTGCTTCCCTCTGCCACACTCTTCCGCCATGATGTTCTGCCTCACCTTGAGCCCCAAGGTAGGCAGCCGCCTATCTATGGATGGAGATCTCTGAAACTGTGAGCCCTGAAATAAACTTTTCCTCCTCTACAATTGTGCTGGTTAGGTCCTTTCGTCACAGCAGTGAAAAAGCTGACTAAAACACAAAGTCTTCTGGCAAGGGATGCTCATGAAACTGTCACCATTTCCTGAGCATTTTCTAGTGCCAGGTGCTATTCTGAGCATGTTTCATACACCTTCTCATTTAACCTTCCCAACAAACTTTAGAAAGATACCTGTTTGGCAACTGATGAAAGCTTAGGCTAAGATATGATAGTTGAGATAACCCACTTAGTTACCTAGGCAGAGGGAAGGTAGCTTTGAACTTTTGAGCTTGGATAGTAACTGTTATAGAGAAAACACGACATGTAATAGGTTGAGAAAATGTTGAATTTATCTTTAAACTTGTTGAACTTTGAGGTGCCTGAAGGCTATCTATGGGAAAGTACTGAGGGCTGAAAATACAGACTTAAAAATGACTGGCATAAGAAATAGTTCTTCTAGGGAGATTGAAAAATGGTCTGGGGATGAAACTGGCAAAACCCAAACCTGCTCCATTCTGGCTCATCATGATTGGAAGCTGCTTATCTGTGACCTGGCATTTCGAATATATCCTGTTGTAAACCATGGATAGATGGGATGGTTTAGAGCTGATTTTTAGACCACTTGTGATGGCATACTTCTTGCCATAATTCCTGCACTAGAAAGCTCCATATCCAATGTGGAACATGGATTTAGAATATTCTCTGTGCTAGGAACAGTGTATTCTTTGCACATTCATATATTTGAGGAAAATCGGATTTATCTTTGGTCAATGGAGAGTGCCTTTTTCTTGGAAAGGACAGTTTTTGTGTTTTAGACTACCTTTGGTTTAATTGTAAATCAACCACAACTGAAGCAATATATGTGTTTCAAGCATTTTGACATTGCCTAGTTATAAAATAAATAAAAATAATAGACTCTCAAGGATAGAAAATCAGGGCCATTGCAGAAACTTGGGGGCATGTCTTGCTGCCTTAAGGGAAAATGTCATTGCTTCCCAGAGCATTCTCTTGGAGGTAGGTAAAAAGAATGATTGTGCAGTGTTTCATTTTGACTTAGAGTCACCATTTTAAAAAATAATAACAATTACATGTTTCACTGTTAGGTCCACTTTAATATTTAGCCAGTTACCGGGTTATATAACCCTTTAATGTAGGTTAGGTAAGAACACAGATGGTACAGTGTTTCCATAGCAAAAAAGCATTTAGGCTTGTTTCTGCTTGTCAGTTTTTTTCAACATCATATTCCTTTTAACACAGAGGCAGGCTCGCACCCCTCCTTCTCCCGATCTTCAACCTTTTCCATCTCTCCCTTTGTGATCTCCCCTTCTGATCACTCTCTCCCAGCACACTAAAGAACAAAGAAACAAAGATTTCCAGTAACTTTTTTTTCCCCTCTGGGGTTTTGATCTCTAATTTATTTAACCTGAAATATGATTTTGAACTGTTTCTATCACAAAACTCTGTTTCTTACTAGTCTCTCTTTCAGTTAAATAGGAGGTGTGGAGACAATTATAAGGCCCAAGCCTGACTCAAGTGAGACCTTGGAGAAGGGCTCAAGTAGGCAGACACACCCCCTGAAGGACTCCTCAAGCAGATTCTGCTACTTAAGGAGGATCTAACTTCAAGCAGCCCTCATGTTAAAATCCTTTGTCAGCTCTGTCCTGTCCTCATACTTAGGCATATTAATTTCACATTTGCAGCCTATGTTTCAATTTGCCTGTTTGTTACATAACTGAGAAAGATATCTGACAGATGCATTTTGGATCTCTGCTCTTCAAAATCTGATCCAGAGAAGCATTTCCAGGCCCTGTTCTCCCATGAATCATATCTATGTACAGAAACTATATTTTATCTCATGCTTGTTTTTTAAATGTCATCTCTTCAGGGAGGCCTTCCTGTGTCTTGGTTAGTCCCCTAGCTGAACACTTCCTCAACTGCAACTTGTATTTATTTGTTTATTTATGCATTCATTCATTCCTTCGTGTCTCTCTTAACAGACTTCTTTCTTAACAGACCATTTTCAAATGTTTAACATTGTAATCCTAGTATCTGTAAGTATTGAATAAATGCTTTTTTTCCCCAATAAAATGAAATTAAGTTTTCTTTTTGATAAAATTCTAGAATTTGGTTTCAAAAGAAAACAGATAAAACTTGGTTTTCTAATTAGTAATGTTGGTATGTTTTCTGTTTCCTCTTGCACTTTTGCGGTTAGAAAGCTCAGAGCTAAAGTTAGTGGTCAGTGTAGCTATATGTCCTACTAAACTAGCATATTTGTTCTTTGTGTTTTTCTTTTTATATAGTTGCATTATTTTTGTATTTGTTTTATTTTAAGCCACCTCAAATACTGGAGGTTTAACAGTGGTACATGTCACTGCTTGAAAATAGCCCTCACTGCTCTGAGGCCTGTTTTAAAAGCATTTGTTTTTCTTTTCCTCTTCTCCCTCTTCCCCTACCTAACCAGGGGTCGGGGAACAAGGTTATCTTTTTCCATGCTAGGACAAGTTATCTGTCCTTGAGCACACACCCACCATAGGAAGAAGATGTCACTGGAAGATCTAGGACGTGACTATCTCCCAAATAAACAAGTGAATTTCAACACACCAACAAGGCCCACCTGGGATTCCCTGCATGAGGGCACACTTGGAATGCAGCCTTTGAAGAGCTTCTTTAAAAGCCCTCTGTTCTCCCTGATGGACAGAATCACAGCCTCTAGACAGGAGTCCCCTGTGCTTCTCTGTTGCTAGCAAAGCAATAAAACTTTTTCCCTTCTCTCGAAACCGTGTCCTCCTTATTAAATTATTGGGGACAAGGACAGAGCTTTCAGTAACAAAAACAAGCAACACATAATATAATAAATAAAATAAATATAAGATCCTCCTTCACACTGAAATAAAATTTCAGGAATTCCTCGGAGAGATGATGTGTACTGTGAAAGGTTAACACTGTTAAAAATTGACATGAATGGAGGCCAAAGAAACTTTACATAGTAGAAAGTTTAAAGGGCGTTTTTACTCTTCAGTTATGTTACAAGGTATTGAGTGAGAATAAGTAAGCTTTATATATAAAACTGGTCCTATTTATCAACCAAATGGTTGAACTTTATCTTAAAAGTAAAATCCACTTTAATTGCTTAAGCATTACTTTATCATGATTTATTTTCCCTAATATTTTTGTGGGCTCACTTAAAACCCCTTCTCTCTGTGGCCTGCAAAGTTCCCTGTTGCCTTTTTATGTGAAAAACATTGTGTAAAAAATCATGATTTCTGGATTTTACCCTCTGAAGTAAATAGTCTTGCTGGATGAGTCAGGTTTGCAGGACTTGAAATCCTTCAACTGACACTGAGGTTTGTTTACAGTTGATGGTGGGGAGGAGGGAGAACTGAGGAGGGACTCCTGAGATGACTTAACCTATCAAGGCCAGAAGAGGAAGTTACAGTGAGGGAGCAAATCGATGCCATCAGTGTCACCTGGGAAGATGGTGGGACACGTGAGGATTTATTAATGGAAAGGACAACTGGAAAAATGTCACATTTAGAAGATGAATAATTTAGTGGCAAGAGACACTGGGAATCCAGTTCAGATGAAAGAAAGTACTTTTTCCGGAGGGAAGATAGACAATTTCTCTTTTTGTGCCTAAGGAGACAGAAAATGGGAAGAAGGTGGATGACTCTGATTTTCAGCCAAGCTTCCCAGTGCAGGGGTGGAGAGTGAATGTGGATGCAGGTTCTGAACTAGCTTGAGAATGCAGGCACCAGCGGCTTCCTCTGGCCCTTTTCCTGGGTCTCTAAGAGATTGTCACCAGGGGACAAAAGGAGAGTGAGCTGCCTTGAACCTACTATTAATTTTCCTCTGTGCATGGCAAGGGGCAGAATCCTTCATCCCACAGAGTCCCATCCTCTATCCTGGAAAACGTCCATTTCACCAAGCCCTCATTTTCTGTACTGTCACATTCTTTTTATGAATCTGGGCTTTTTGATGGGATAATAAGAGGATGCACTGCTTTTTAAGAGTTTAAGAGATTTAGGTAACCACACCCATATTCTAGTGCCTATGAGTTCTGAACCAAGGGAGTAAAACCAAGCAGGTTTGTAGAGGGTATTTGTTTTGTGGCGATGGTGGTAGTTTTTGGCTCTAATAGCACCTAATTCCTATTTATAGAATGTCCTCTCCTTCACTGGGGGCAGTTTTTGTTTTATTTTTATTTACTTATTTATTTATTTAAAATTTGTTCTAGTTATTTATATATGACAGTAGAATGCATTTTGACACATTGTACACAAATGGAGCACAACTTCTTCCTCTGGCTGTACCTGGTGCAAAGTCACACAGGTAGTGTAATCATACATATATGTAGGGTAATAATGTTCATCTCATTCTACCCTC